CACTCTTCCTGATGATCCTTCCTGGAGAAATGGAAGGCTCTTACATCTTTGTATGCCGCAAGAAGTACGGTCAGTTAGCTCGAAACGTGTTGAGAGGGATAGTTCCGTTCTTGATTCATCACCTGTGGGAACTTACCGATACGCAAGCTGATCAAGTCGTGGGTAAATGAATTCCCAAATCAGAGATCCAGGCGACGCGTCGTAAGTTTTTGGTATGGTGCACCAACACACTACGCGCTATTGAGGCCTCCGATCAGTCGACCAAGGTGGAGGAAGCTCTGGAGTTTTTGGACGATGTGATTGAAGACACCACCAATGTTTACCAAGGTCAACTCTCAATCGATATGGATATGGCAAATGCCAAGGATATTGACGATGGTCAAACGGTCACGGGGATGCTGGATGAAATGCACGAACGTGAACAACAACTGGAGGATGCCTTTGTGGAAATCAAAGCTCGTGACAACGCCTTGGCGGCTAAAGACCAGGCCCTGGCTCAGCAGAAAGCCGCGACTGCGGCTCTTCAAGCCCAACTTGACGCCCTTCAACGCCAGACAGCCCACCACTTGGCCATCGATTCGCAACCACCTACTCAAAACAATGAGGTATCTCCAGATCGGTCCGATTTCACTACGCCACCAAAAAAGAGGAAAAACAAGGATACTTCCACGACTAAGAGGAGAGTTGACAGGTCTAAGGCTGGTCTTAAGCCGCCCACTAAGTCAACTCGTACCAGCACGTCTGTTCACTTTCAGCAGCCGAAGCAGCGCTCTCAGAACACATCTCAGGTCCAGGTGGACACAACTCAGACGGAGGGTGATACTACTACAGCTGTGTCCCAGGACGAGAGCCTCTCATCTCTGACAGCGGCATCTCCGGGAGGTGTACACCCATTCTTTCTCCCTTCTCCATCTGGCAAATCCGGTACTAGCGGATCTGCTAAGTTGCCTTCTTTGGCCGGCCGCGGAGTGCCTCGCTCCGCGGCAGGGCCATGAGAGGCCCCAGGTCGTCTGCCGCTATAAGAGGTCCCAGGTCGTCTGCCGCTAGGTCACGGCGTGCAGGCAGAAGATCTCGAATTAGTGGCCCGTCAAGTGGTGTTTCCCATGCCTCACTTGACGAATATTTACGCTCTCTTCCACCAGGAGACTGCCTTGGCGTCGGCCATCGCTGTCGCTCTTCACTAGCTACTCGCGTCACCTTCCAGAACGTTAACGGTGTTCCGGAGGAAGGTGACCATGTGAAACAGCGGCAGATCAACTCCTGGCTGCAAGATGAGCAAGTGGGAATAGCGTTGTTGGCAGAGGCCAAAACGTTTTGGCCCTCTATCCCAGAGGGTCATGGGTGGAACGATAGGATGCATCAAGCTACGATGAAGGCAAAGCACAAAGGTTTTTACTCGGCTGTCGCTTATAATAAACAGCAGTCACAATCTTCAGCAACTACAGCCTTTCAATGGGGAGGACTTAGTCAGGTCTCGCACCGAGCTAAAGAATCAGGGAGCGATTTGACGGGGCTGGGACGGTGGGCTTATGTTTGTCTTCAAGGAAAAAAGCTGAAGGCGCAGGGGGGTGATGATCACTCCGGCTTGGTGCTAGACGTAAACGAGGCGGTCCGACGCCCGATTTCACGTGATCTAGTGCATATAGGCCAAACAGAGAAGGTACGGGGGAATCAACCGAGTGGGCCCAACAACGTCTATACTTTAACTCTATAAAACGTAAGATTGATCCGCGCAAAGCATTGGTCGATGACCTGTGCAAGCAAATTCAAAAATGGAGGGACAAGGGTTGTGAATTTTTGCTGGGGATCAATGCTAACGAAGACCTTTTGGTCAACTCACCGGACTCCATACGACAGCGGTTTTGTGAGTGCGGAATGAAGGAAGCGATTTTGAAACGGCATCCCCCCACGGCAACCCACCAACAAAATGAAAGCAACATTCCCTCCGACGGAATCTTTACCACTTCAGGTGTTCCGGTTCTGGCTGGTGGCTACCACGCATTTGGTGAATTTGTTGAATCAGACCACAGGGCACTGTGGATTGATATCGACTTGAACACGGCTTTGGGCAATTTCACACCCCAGGGGTCTACCTTTAAACCTCGCAAACTCACTCTTTTGGATAAGCGGTCAATCAAACGCTATCTTCAACTGGCCCACTTGGGTTACGAGGAGTAATAATTACTGAAACATTAATCGATTAAATGCTATCTAGCGCATATGATTGCCGGTGGAATAAGCGGCTGTAAAGGTCAAGTACCGTGAAGCGACAAGTCAACAACTAGTTTGAACCATTGGAGACATCTGGTGGACAGAAGTTGCTCTAGTCAGGATCGAGGGGATCCCAACTCTACCCGCAACAAGGCGGGGTGATTTCGGGGCGTTGATTCCTCGAAATGGTTTCAGGGGGCCTGGGCCGGATGGAAGAAGCGGTGAAGGATACGGCGTTGGGGCGCCAGAGCGCGGCGATAGGCCGTGCGTTCCATTCTGACCAGCTTCAGCCACTCTTCCCTATCAACCAACGGCTTGTTCAACACAGTTCGGCGTTTCACAGCAAGCATGCGTTGAACTACCTTAGGGAGGTCGGTTGGGCCCATATCAAACTGAGAGTGTATACCGTCGTTCACCAATCGGCTACATTCGCGTAGCTGTACGTTGTCCTCCAAATGTTGCACCAAGTTCCGGTGTTCCCACATATGAAATCCAAGCAAGATCAGCTGATGCGACAGGCGAGAGACCCACAGGGTCGGGGAGCGTTGGCTCCCTCGTGGCTGTAGGTACTGTTCCTGCAGAGGCGTCCACTGAACAGACAGCCGGCCTTCCAATAAACCTTGGTAGCCGATGCGTTGTTGGGAGAGGAAAGCGCGGCGAAGACGAACCGGACCCAACCGACTGCAAGGGAGGGACGGATCACAAACCCCTTGAAGGAGGTATAGGATAGCGTGTTTTATGGCTGGGTCAGTGACTTGAGTGTCCAACCATTGGTCCAACGACGCCGTCCGGCGGTCCCATTCTGCACTAGCCGAGGGCGCCATACATCGAGGAACGTGAAGGTGGTCCTCGAACTCGCCGCAGCAGGGACATGCAGCTGAGTCTGCGGAACCCTACCGGACTCTGAACTTCCCTACACCACACATACCCACGACATGCTTCGTGGTCCAACGTTGGATACCTGCCGGAAGGGAGCTCATGGCGCAAGCCAGACTGGTCCAATCGGTCTCCAGTTCTGCCTCCGGTGTAATCATCTGCCGCTCGTGCCATCGCTTGCGTAGAGCAGGCAGCGCCACAAGTTCCTGGACCCGTGCTGGATTCAATCGCGACTGTTTGACTTCCCCAATGTAAAGGGCAGCCAGTTCGGTAAAGAAACGAGCGTTAGGTGCAATCGATCAGTGTGAAGCAGCGAGCTGGTGGCGATAGGCGACCGCCCACGCATCCACTTCCACATTCCGTTTAGACCACCAAGAGAGGCACGAAAAGGATGTCGCCGTATCAAGGTGACCGTACACGTGGCTAGGTTCCCACGAGACCCTAGAGCGGGCAAGTGCCTCCCGGATAGAGGAGACGAGGTCCCGTCCCGTCTTACCAAGCTCAATCAGCGCATTGAATCCAATGGATGACAGATGTCATCCTTGCTTGCACGCAAATATAACTGCCTTCACCGGCAGCTGTATATGGTATGGCGGCATGCTGAAGACAATTGTCGCACTACCTCATCTGGCAAGGTTCCTTGGTCTCCCAAATTGCAGGGCTTCTGGGATCGGTTGAGCCTCTGGAAGCTACCCCTTAAAGGACACAAGCGATGTCATGTGAGCTCCCAAAAGGTCCGGCGCCTGATGAAGAAGACAAGGCTGTGCAACGCATGGAAGAAGACGACTGATGAACTGGAAGTGGCATTGACAGCTGAACGAAGGGCATACAAGCAAGCCAAACTTCAGGCAACCCAATCGAGACGGGACTTTCTTACGGTTCAGACAACGGATGCAAAGAAGAAGAAATGGAAATCCCAGAAGGCCCACAATAGATTCCTTCAGTTATGACAAATGAAGCAACGAGAGGAGGCGAGGCGCCGTCGTCGCGCCCAACAAAAAGGATCTACAGGGGGTTTACGGGCTATTCAGATTGAAGAACAATTACCAGACGGCACTCCGCAGCTGCGTACTATCACC